AATCTTGAGTCGACGCTCGCTGCCTGCGGGTCTGACCTTGCTGGCGAACTGCACCTGATCGCCTGGTCCTGCTGTGCCCTGCTGGCTTCGGATTTTATGTTCTCCAGAAGGCTTTGCAGATTCTCAGGATCCCTTTAGGGTCAACTTATATGCGCTTGCCCTCGCTCCGGTGATGAGTTTCAACCTGCAGACTCATGTATGCCACTGTGCCACGCGGGCCCGTGGAAGCTCTTTGACCACTTTGTGAAATACTTGCACAGACACCTCCCCTAGCTCTGGGCAGCTTAATCGTCTTGTGCATCTCAAGCGGAGCTGTTTCATTCAGTCTCGCGGCACTTCAGCATGTTGGCCGAAGCTCAAACTCGGCACTTTTCACTTTTTTTCCTTCCATGGATGCAACTGGCGACCTTGGCGACCTTACACCGTTAACATGACTGCCTGCCTGTGTTTACTTTTTGTCTTCTCTGTGATTGGCCTTTCCCCAAGGCAGCACCGTACGCTTGCATGGCATATTCGTGTCTATTCAGTCCTATTCTCAAGAGTTCTGAGTTTGCACAGGCTGGGCGCAGTTGTCATGCCTGGGGGAAATTCTGGGAATTAAATAAACCCTGAACCTGAAACCCTCAACCCTAAACCCCAAACCCCAAACCCCAAACCCCTAAACCCCTAAACCCCTAAACCCCTAAACCCTAAACCCTAAACCCTAACCCTAAACCCTAAACCCTAAACCCTAAGCCCTAAACCCTAAACCCTAAACCCTAAACCTTAAACCCTAAACCCTAAACCCTAAACCCTAAACCCTAAACCCTAAACCCTAAACCCTAAACCCTAAGCCTACCGACTGGGCAACAAGAACCCCCAAGCAAGCGCTAGACATCTAAAAGAAGTCATTGGGGTTGTAAAAAAAACCCTAAACCCTAAACCCTAAACCCTAAACCCTAAACCCCAAACCCTAAACCCTAAACCCTAATCCCTAACTTGCAAGGTGCTCTTGGCAGTCAGCCGAGTTGCAGCTGATACTTCCTGCAGCCTGCCCGGCTTCCAGGATCAGCAGCTTGGCTACCCTAAACCCTAAACCCTAAACCCGAAACCCTAAACCCTAAACCCTAAACGCTAAACCCTAAACCCTTAACCCCTAAACCCTAAACCCTAAACCCTAAACCCTAGACCCTAAACCCTAGACCCTAAACCCTAAACCCTAGACCCTAGACCCTAAACCCTAAACCCTAAACCGTAAACCCTACCCCCGAAACCCGAAACCCGAAACCCTAAACCCCAAACCCTAAACCCTACGCCCTAAGCCCTAAGCCACTTTGGAGGTCTTAAAGACATGTCATTCGAAAATAGGGGATCCATCCCTAGTATAGACCCCAAATAGTACCCTTATAACAAGGTAGGGTACTCCAGGGACTCCACCAGAGCCTTCGCCACCTTCGCTCAAATAGCGTGACCAAGGAAAGCACCGGTCCTCCTTCAAGTCGGGGCAACAAATGCCAGAGTCTCTCTCACCAATCGTCCGGTGCTTAGGTGCTTATCGGGCTCCGAGCTGACAGTTTGTGGATCGTCGTGTGCGAAGTTCTTACGGCATAGAATTGCGCACGCAGCTTGCTCTCTCGGAGTCCATGAGGGTCATTTGAGGTCTCCTTGCTGCTGGAGATGCTGCTGCAAGGAGCTTACATTGGTGGGAGGGAGGGTAATATGTTTTTTGAGTCTTTGAGAAGCTGAGTCATGATCATCTGAACCTACTAATGAGAGAGCGGAGGGTGGAGTGGGGGACAGGCGGGGGCGACTGACGCATCAATGCCTGGTACGTCATGCTGCGTGCTTGATCGTGCTTGATCTTGCTTGTTTGCTTGATCTCGCTTGATCTTGCTTGATCTTGCTTGATCTTGCTTGATCTTGCTTGCTTGATTGCCTGTGGCATACTGCACTTCCGTGGATTTAGCGGACGACACGGCATGAATGGCCTCATCATCCTCAGAATAGCTGCTTAGCTGCTATGCAGCACCGGGTCGAACCTCACGAGTGTGGCTTTGCTGAGCATGTTTTCAGCGAGCCTCGGAGGTGTTTTTTGGTGTTTTTATATGGTGCAGGGCTGCCACCCCCCCCCCCCCCCCCCCCCCCCCATGATATGATGGTATGGCCCCCGCCCTCCACCTCCCCACCGTGGTGAAGTTGTGGGTTGTGTTTAGGGGTTTTGGAGCGAAGGCTTTCCCTCCCTGCCCCTCCCTGGTGTTGTGGCTGTGGGTTGGTTTTAGGGTTTGGGCTTAGGGCTCTAGGGACTTAGGGTTTTAGTGCTTAGCTTTTAAGCTTAAGGTTAGAAAGTGTTAGGGTTTTAGGGTCGTCATTTTTGTTTTCTCACCCGCCCCTGCCCCCTGTGGTGTGGCTGTGGGGTGGTTCTAGGGTTCTCCCCCTGCGCACCTCAAAAACCGCTTGACCTCCTTCTTCAGCCCATGTTTTTGTTTCTCTCGCCCAGGGCCGTGGGGCCACGCAGCTGGGCCCGCCAGCTATTGCGATGCAGCTCTGTTGAACCGTGAGATGAATGGTCTGCTGAGCGGTGTGTGCCTGTTGGGCAGAGCTGGTCAAAGGGGGGACCCATCGTCTGAGCAGCTTGGCAAGGTCAGCCATCGCACTTGCACAGCAGGTCCTCTGGGGTCGGCACGAGGACTGAATCATTTGCTGAGGTTTCGACTTCGACAGTACACTAAGTGTTACACTACATGTCAAACTATGTAAAAGGAGATTCCGTCCACAAGGCTGCTGTTACAGCAAATGCAGCAGGAGGCCAATCGGACAGTAGACTGTTGTAGACTCGTTGTAGACTGTCGGACTCTGTAGGACGCTGTAGGACGCTCTAGGACACTGCAGGACACTGTAGGACACTGTAAGACACTGCGTCGCATGACCAAAGCTGATCAACGCTGTTCGGCAGCAAGGTGGCAGATCGCGTTGTGACCTCGCAGCCGACATCTGCAATTCAAGGAGACACTGCCTTGGTCTTGCCGGATACCCGGCTGCTCTCACCGAACCGTTGTTTCAAGTTAGGATTGCATCGTGGCATAGCTTTGTCGGCCATGGCACGAGCATGCGCAAGGTCAGTGGTTGTTGGCGTGTGGCTGCCCCAGCACCGGTGCCATGAGAGTGCAGTAGGTGCTGACTTGGCAGCCTTGTCCTACTTCGAGTGATCGGAGGAGACTCTGATTTCGGTTTCAACACCCACCTTGCCACCTGAGGGCAGCACTGGTTCTTGCCATTACGATCGTGGCTCACCTCTGAGTGACTTTATGTGCTTGGTTGCATGGTATGTGTTCAGCTGAACATCCGATGAAAGGTCTGCCTGGTTACATACCAGCCCAAGCCAGATTACAGCGATACTGAGCCGGGTGCTTTGCTGGCTCCAACTCATGGGCATCTGGTCAGGTAAAGTTGCAGTCCCATAGTGGGAGCTCCAGCAAGTATGTCTGAAAGTTCATTGGCATTGTTGTCGTGGCAGGGAGGCTATACTGAGAACGAGCTTACAGCAGCAGCATCAGTACGACCAGAGGGCGAGGACGTGCCTTTGATGAATTCCCCGTGCTGAATTAACTTTATGGGCTTCTCAACGATCGCATGTGAATGTATCGATGCGTGTGTATACATGTAGAATATGTAGAAACCTACTCTGTCACACGCATCTACAGAACACATTGCTGCTTCAACCATTGTAAAGACAGTCCCCAACGCATTATACATGTACAATGCGGTTTTGTCTTACAGCATCGGTACCAGAATGCCAGCTTCAGTCGTCCTATCCTATCATGTTTCATGATGGTCCACTATACTTCATGAGCCCAGATACAAAGACTTTCTAGCTTCCATCTAGTAATTTCGTGCGCGTTTACCGAGCCTTTCGGCAACCAAGGCAGTCGGCATGTGCATGCTGAAGATCCAGGAGCGCGATCCTTTAGAGGACTTGTCATCCCAGCCGGTCCTTCAGTGCTGAGCATGTGGGAACGATGTGCTGTTGAATTTCATTGTATTTTGTCCCCAGATGCGCAGCCGAAAAGTGCCGAGACTGTGCTCTGGGACTGTGCGCGGCCTCCGCGTGCGCAGCACGTGCATCCATAGGAACGGCAAGGGAACTTTCACCGCCGCGTTTTGATGAATGGATCTCAGGCACATATAGAGAGCAGCACAGCCTGCGACTTCATCAACAAAGAGTTCGCTCATGTTCACGTGTACAAGATGCACAGCCGAAAGCTATAAGATAGTGCGAGCTAGAGGCAAAGCCTACTCTTGGCGACCAGTGAGCTGTGGAAGTAGGCGGTTTTGAGCGGCATGGCGTGACCAGCGCACCCTACATGAGGCCAATGGCAGCTTCATGAGGATGCTGGTAAACCGCTCAGTGCAGGGATTCCTGTCAAAAACGAGTGTCTATCAAATGTCCGTTAATTGTGAATACCGGCAGGAAGAGAGGAGAAGTGGACTCACAAAGGGAAAGAAAGAGCGAACAAAAGAACGAAGTACAGAAAGTGAAAGCTGTCCATGGAGAGAGAGAGGGAGAGAGAGCTCGGAACTCAGAGGGAGCATGAAAAGTCCAACGGCGTATTTTTGAGCCTTCCCGTCCGCCATGAGAATTCATAGACAACCTTAGATGTTTGAAGGGACAAGCAACAGCAGGGAATTTTTCCACAAGGAACTCGGTGTTGAAGAAAGTGCCCTTTCTGAAAGGCAGTTGGATGTTGACTTTGTTGTAGAGTCTGAGGTGCTAGCCGACTTTGAAACAACTTCCAGGATGTCCCAGAGACTCATCGGTTTTGTCTTTTTTCCCTTTTTGAAGACGCAGTGTGCTGTGATGAGTGGATGAATAGCTCCCTGGACAACAGATATGCTTGCGGTTTTTGTTTGGCATGGCACGTTGCAAAGAATGAGCAAAGCTTGCGAGCCTTTCAGTCAGCACGGCCCTCCAGCGCATGTTCCCAAGCCCGGTCTTGAGAGTGTGCAAGCCGCGGCAAGGCAGGATGGGCACATGGACAGCCAACCTCTTCCAAAATATTCTGGAGCCATGGGTGAAAGTGCTGCATGAGGGGGCGGCTATTGAGTCTGATAGTATGCCCTATGCATCGCAAGTCCGCTGTGTCAGAGCAGGATCCCGAAGCTGTGGTAGGTGTCGGGGGCGATAGGGTCGTGTAGTCGGCTGCCAAGGAATCGCGGCGGCAGAAGTATGGGGATGGGAATGCAAAAACCCTTACGAGCATGACCCACATGGGTGGCATCCTCGAGAAGCGAGGCACAAAGCTGTTCGTGCATCTAATGTGCTCAGACGCCTATTCACGTGATTGAGTTCTTTTGCCCCGTAGCTTGCAAACTGGCTCATTGAGCAGGCCAGCTCAATGATGCTCTTGACCATTATGGTGAGGCGATGCATTATCGTCGGGAGGCACGACTTGTCAAGTCTCAACGAGCTGACGCTGTGGGTGTTCGAAGACTTAAATTTACCCCCGTGGAGGTGTTGGGTGACAAGCACCCGAAGACTTTGCAAAGCATTGGCAAGATGGCTGCCTTGATGAAAGGGTTGCGTCAAGGCTTTGATTTTATTTGAGCAGTTCGCCCGACACGAAAAACCTTTGATGCCCAGGCTGCCATGTGCAAACAGCTGCTTGCCAGCAACAAGTGACCCTAAGTGCTAGAATGTTCGAGTCTGACACAGCACCACTTGCGGCTGTTTTACTTGTGTCTTGACGAGGCATGGGCAGCACTATGAGGCTCGGGGAGTGGACCGCAAAGTTGGGTCCCTCACGTGTTGGATTGCGGCAGACCCAATAGGATGTGTTGCAGTAGTTGCCGCCTGGCCGGAGCCCATTTTTTTGGTTTTGCAGTCGTTTGCAGGCTTTTTTGCCCTAAACCCTAAACCCTAAACCCTAAACCCTAAACCCTAAACCCTAAACCCTAAACCCTAAACCCTAAACCCTAAACCCACTGTGAATTTGTAGCTGAGAGGGCGGAAGTGAGTGAGTGAGTGAGGGCCCGCGACGGCGCAGCAAACAAACACCCCCCCCCCCTGTGGCGACCCGTGTGTTTTTGCCATGCAGTCGGCCACTGGGCTGCTGGGATTGTAAGTGTGGCAAACCTCCCCAACCCCTCTACTTGCTTTTAAGCCTTGCAAGTTTGCTTTATAGAGCAGATCATGCCGTGTTTGCCAATGAGGAGGCCGCCACTCCCCCAACCCCCCGCTTTTCTAAATTCTTCTCCAAGCCCTTCATGAGAATGCCTGTCCTGACGCGTTTTTGCTTCTTTTTAAACCTTGCAAAGCTTGCTCATTTTTGGACGGAGTCATCTGTGTTCTCAGAGTTCTCTGATTACTGGATTTCAATAGGAAATTCTGGAACACCTAGACCTTTGGGACATAGTGATGAAAACATCTGTTGCCTCAAGGTTTTGAACAAGAAAACCTGTACTTCCTGTATTTTCTCAAAATTGCCCTATTTTTTCACAGGAAAACATCTGTTTCCTCTGTACTTGAATAGAAACACAACATATTTTTTATTGCTCATGACAATCGGACAATGTCCAAAACGTATAAAATGGCAGAGAAGGGTCCAAAACACTTCCTCGCCCCCCACAACATGCCACAACCTGCACGGCAAAGAAGACTGCACTTCGCATAGCAAAAGCGCACAGTAAAGAAATGCACCCCGGCCTCGCAGCAGAAAACGACGGCGCCGCAGCAAACAAAAACAATCCTCAGCCTATCCGTGCGAGGCAATTGTGCTTTGCAGTGGGTTGGTGCGCTGTCAGCGGCAGCAAAGAAAAGTGACTGCGCAGCAAACACAAAAGCCAGCTGAAAACGACTGCACAGAAAAAAAGAACCGACGGCAAAAAACAAGAAAAAAAGTCGGGGGCCCGCCTGGACTGGTGGCTTGGACCGATTGGATCCACCTCCGCTTCGAGGCGCAGATCCTGGCACAAGAGGCTCTGTTCGGCTCCCGCAAGATGTTCGGCGAGCAGGCGTTTCCGCCTCACATGTAATTTAGGTTGGGCAAGTTGAGTCGGATCCGATGCAGGCGCCGGACACCCTGGATGCGCTTAACAACCTCGGGGCTGTGTGGAAGGCGGAATTCAGATGGAGGGGAGAGTCTCGCTGGATTCCCTCTTCCTGTTCCCTCTTCCTCGCCATTGCCCTTGCGCTCGAGCTCTCGATCCCTCTATCTCTCACTCTCTCTATCTCTCACTCTCTCTATCTCTCACTCTCACTGTCCCTCGCTGCCTCTCACTGTCTCTCCTCTCACTCCCACCACTTCCACTCTCACCATCTCACCACTGGCACCATTTCGCGCCACTCTCACCACTCTCACCGCTCTCACCACTCTCACCACTCTCACCACTCTCACCACTCTCACCACTCTCACCACTCTCACCAGTCTTACCAGTCTCACTACTCTCACCACTCTCACCATCACTTTCATCACTTTCATCCCTCTCGCTCTCACTCTCAGTTTCCCCCACTAATTGCCCTCAATCACGCGCTCTCACTTTGTCTCTCACTTAGTCGCGCGGCTTCTGCAGGCACAAGGTGAGTTCAAAGAAGCCGAGAAATGCTTCAGAGATGCATACAAGCGGCGTCAGGAAACTGCTGTGTGTTCATATTCTCATGGGGTTCAGTGCTTGAGAGTGCAGCTTCTGACTGTGAAGAGCGAAGCTCTTCAGGAGACCCTGGGGCCAAAGCATCCGGACACCTTGACAAGCCTGAACAACTTGGCATGCACGGTGGATGAGCTGGGCCATGCCAAGGAAGCTGGAAGGCTGTACCAGCAGTGTTTGGAAACTCGAAAGACCGTCCTTGGGCTATCTCACCCCGACACGCTGACGAGCATGAGTGCCTTGGCCTGCAATTTTCAAACGGAGTGTGTGGCAGTGAGGCAGAAGGTCATGTGCACGGGCAAAGGCAACCTTGCCCTCTTCCTGCGTGCAAACGGGCAGAAGCTCGAGGCGGAGGCGCTTTTGGCGAAGGTGTTGGATGGCCGTCGCAAGATGTTTGGTGTCAAGCACCCCGACACCATCGTCAGCATGAACAACTGCGCGGCCATCGCCTGCGAAACGCGGCAAAACTGTGTGGCAAGTGTAGCTGGTGGGTTTTTGCTATCAGGGCTCGCTTCTTTAAGCTTCTCTGGCCTTGTTTCCAACCCTTCCAGCCCAGGATGATGTTCAGGAGCCCACGAAGCATTGTGAGGGTAGTGGCAGTGTCCATCTTGCACTTGATTCACACACGACACAGTTCGTCTTCGGACCAGATCAGCCAATGTTGCCGCAAGGATTTTCGAGATTGCAACGATGCGCTCGAACTGAAGAGGTCCTTCGAGAAAGCCGACTCTCTGCTCAGAGAGGCGGGTCGAGCGCAAGAACTTCGCACCACGTCACGCTGAAGTGTGCGGTGGCGGCTAGAAGTCCTTAAGTGCCCTAATCTGGTGATAAGTGCAGTTATAAGTACAGTTATAAGTACACTTATACGCACAGTTGTACGTACAGTTATAATTGGTGAATAGGTACCATGAACCTCCAAGCAGGCAGTGGCTGCTTCTCGGAAGAATCTGGGGAAGCGGCACCCGCTCGCGCTGCGGCCGGGACCGAACTTACAAAGTCTCACGGGGGCCTTGCGCTGCCGGCTTTGGGCCAGTCTGGTGCTGCAAGATGCTCTAACAGGGTTTAGGGTTTAGGGTTTAGGGTTGACTCTAACAAAGCTGTGGCACTGTGCCCAGGAAGAGCATGAACAATCTCGCTGCTTGGACGAGTCATGGCATGTCGGGCAAGTTTGTGCATGGGTGTGTGCCGTCCAAATAACAGCCAGGCAAAGCGCTGATGATACAGTGATTTTGGGGCTTTCGTGTGATGGGCTTTCCAACGCGTTCAATACTGGATCTGTGGCGTATATAGTTTCTTGAGCTTGTAAGGTACAGTGTTGTTCAAGGACGTGAACAAAGCGAGCGCATGATTCTCTTAAGTTCTCTTATTTAATGTACACTAGCGACATGCAGGAGCAAAACGAAGAGGTGAGCACCAGGAAAGAAGATAAGAAAACAAATAGACACCAACAACGAGATGAAATGCATGCTGTAAGAAGAAGGAAAAGACATCTATGAAAATGATGATTAGTTGAATACGCGAGAGTGCGAAATTGTCTAATCTGTCAAAAATATTTACATAAAACAAAGTGAAGAAAATAGTATACCGTGATTTGTTTACCTGAGTTGGAGATCTGTGTTTGTGTGAGTGTGTGTGTGTGTGTGTGTGTGTGCGTGCGTGCGTGCGTGCGTGCGTGCGTGCGTGCGTGCGTGCGTGCGTGCGTGCGTGCGTGCGTGCGTGGGTGTGTGTGTGTGTGTGTGTGTGTGTGTGTTTGTTTGTGTGTTTGTATGTTTGTGTTGTTTTGTGTTTGTGTGTTTGTTTGTTTGTGCGTGTTTTTGTGTGCGTGTTTTTTTTTTTTTGTGTGTGTGGGCGATCTATATAACAGTGCTGCGAAGTCAGCGATGTGCGCGAGCCGTGCGTGTTGGCATGTTGGTGAGGCCGGCCTCCTACGTCACTTCGGTAAGCTCGATGAAGCCGACATGCTCTACGAGAAAGTGGTGGACGGCATGCGCTCATCTCAAGGCTTCGCTCACCTGGTGCCTTGGCGTTAGATGTGAATGATTGGAGGTTTTGCAGTTGGGGTGATCTGTTGTTGTATTTTGATAAACAAGACGTGTTCTACAAGTGGTTGACGCAAGGCGTCTCGCGCAGGCAACAGGCGTCTCATCAAGGCGTCACACTGCCGTTTTCTCGTAGGGCACAGTCATCTTTATGACACGTGGGCGTCTCGCCAGGGCGTCCCCCTGCAGTTTCTGTTCTGGTACATTCCTACTTGAATTCTCTTTGGGTGTCATAAGCCCTTTGCGTCGCACTGTTTTGTTGGGAATGGACACACCCATCCGGCAAGGCGTCACATGTGTGTTTCAGGGTGCATCGTCGTCCGAACTCCTGTGGAATCGGTACTCTGCGCTAGGTCTGGCGTGCATTTTGTTTGTTTTTGCTATGTTGATGGCCCGTGTAAATATAGTACGAAGAGAGCAGATTATTCGTGCTGGTACTGACTGAACGTAGTGAAAGAAGCACGCAGCATGAATAAGATGTGAACGAAGTTGTCCTTTGCCTGGCGGTGAGATTAGAAGAAGGATGTGAGGAAAGGGGAATGTTGGACGTACCTTGACTGGCGGTTGAACTCAGAGAATGATTCGCGAGTACACGGTCAACCTTGGTTTTTACTATTCTCTTCGTACTTTATTCATTCGCTTATTCACTCACTCCGCTCTCTTCACACACCGTTAAACAATATTAATACTGTGAAGAGAACGCATTATATTAATTTATAAGCGAATGAACAGAGTGAATGAACGCATGAAATTAATATACGCGTGAACGTAACACACGGGCTTACAATATACTTCTTATGGCCCGTGCATACAATACTAATTCTAAAGAGAAAAGAAAACATTATATTAATATTGGTAATGAAATGAAATGAAGCACGCAATATTAATAGAATCAAAAGTACATGCCTGGCAAGGGCGTCCCTACGGGGAACAGCTTTCCGTGGGTCGCCTTTTGCATGCATGGGTTGCCTTTTGCATTCAGGGGCGTCTACTTGGGGTCAGTCGCCTTTCGCCCACGTGAATATAACCCCTAACGGTTCTCAACGCTGCTTTTGTCCGCCGCCCTGGATTTCAAGGTTTAGGGTGAGTCTCTACTTGGAGGTTCATGGGTAGTTCTAGTAGGGTCATAATTTGGGGAACTATTATTCATGGCTGGTCAAGGGGCCCTTGAAAGCCTGTTGGAGCCCCATAACCCAGTCCCCTGCACGTGATCCGCTCTCACTTCAGAACCTCCAAAACGCACGAGAAGGGGGGTTTCTGGAAGGGGTCACATGTGAGGTAAGCGAGGGCGGTCCCTGTAACACCCTATAAACGTTTGATGCCCATGGCCCGAGGCGAATACTTTTCTATGTAACCGTCGAATGTCGTTCTCGGCACCTTCAAGTCGGCACCTTAGGACACATTGACCGCCATCAACAACCACGCAGGGGTGCTGAGACAAAAGGGTGAGGCCGGGCCGGCACGCGTTCCTTTCGCCTTCTTTCGCCTACAATTGAAGGCGAGCAATAGGTCCGCTTGACGCGCCCTCGGCCCCATCCCTTTGCCAGGCAGCTAAGGCTGAAGGGCTCTACAAGGATCCCTTTTGTTTTTCTTTTTTTTTGCTGGCAGTAGCCGGTAGCCTTGCGAAGCTGTGGCGCCTTTTAAGAAGTTGCTCCTTGAGTCTGTCTACCGTGCCATGCTTGAATGAGCTGTGGATGGAGGAGGCGGCTGAAGGAATCGTGAAGAGGCTTGGGGACACACACCCAGTGAGTCGGCGCCTTATCGTCAAGCTTTCGTCTTCAACATACGCAGTTACATAAGAGAGCTTGGCTCCAAGATGAAAATACGAATCTCCCAAAATAGGGGTAGCCCTTTCATACCAAGAGAGTCCCCTGAAAGGGGCCCCCGAAAAGGGTACCCCTATTTTCAGAAACCCCCCAATGGCAAGAGCTAGAGCATCGTTCCACCCCCCGAGGCCTTTCCACTCTGTACAACTGGGCCTTGACGTTGGACGAGCTAGGCCTCGGTGCAGCAGATATTTTTTTTTGGGGGGGGTGGGGGGGGTTCCCACCCAACCTGAACTGGGGGGGGGGGGGGGTCTATGTTATAAGGGAATCCTACTATCTTGGTATCTTGGGGTCTACATGTTATATGTGGGGTCCCAAACTTTCGTACACCTCCACGTCAAGTCGTAGTTGAGCTTTGCTTCAGCGCAACGAGGCAGCCGACCACATGCACAAACCCACGTCGTGTTGCTACCTAGCCTTTTCGTTGACCTCCCCCCCCCCCCCCCCCTCCCCAGTTTTCCAACCCTAAACCCTAAACCCTAAACCCTAAACCCTGATCCTAAACCCTAAACCCTAAACCCTTTCTCATTGGTCTCAATGAGCCGAACGTGAGGCGACTTCGAAAGCGCCATCCCGCTGTATCTGCACCACTTGGATCACGGGCTGTACTCTCCGGAGCCAGCAGCCCAGTCCCGCTACGCTTCTCTTCGGTGTGAAAGAATGGGGGCCATCAATGCCCCCTAAACCCTAAACCCTAAACCCTAAACACTAAACCCTAAAGCCTAAACCCTTTTTGTTTGAGCAGTTTGGGTTTTCGAGGCATCGAGTTGCCACTGCCCGCGAGCTCAGTGAGCGGATGCGAAAGGCTGGAAAGCTGGACCAGGTCGGAGCCTAACTCGATCGAATGATAGCTGCACAGAAGTGCTGTCTCGGGCAGCTTGAGCATGCTGGCTTGGTCCAAGTCTTTGTCATGAAGTTGCCTTGAGTGTTCGAGCATGATACTTTAACATACTTTAGCTCGGGCGGCTAGGGGAACTGCTCTCTGCGGCTGAACTGCGGGCTTATGCAAACCAACAAGTTCGAACGCAAGTTTCAACACAGCTTGCTGTGCCATTGCTCTGCTGCTTCAGGCTCGTGATCTCCGACGCCGCATGAATATCCGGTAGCTGCAATAGCCAGCAGCTTTACTGCTACACTTCCAGAGACGAATCCCATATATGCAGCGACATGATGGAACGACTAGAAGCTCGCATGAAATGCAGTGATGTGTAAGGATGTGTAAACGTGCTGCACAGCAATTCGATGCTTGAGCCGGCGTGGCTGACAACGTACCTGTGAAGCTTGGCGCCAAGTGCCAGACATCGCAGCAGAAATAACCAGGCCGACCGACAGACGGCGAAGCCGTCCACTCATAGGAGCCAAACCGCCACAAAGTGGTCCGTCACATGGCGTGAAGTGCAGAACGGGAGGTAGCACAGCCCGCACCTGGATTGACTCCCTGTGCGCGCGCACGTTGCCAGTGGCTCAAGACTTGAGCATCATCTTATGGCGCTACAACAACTCTGACGCCTAGGACAGGCTACGCTGAATGTTCTGCTTACGTCAACTTACCCGTGTTGGTTCGTTTGCTTAGCTGGATGTTCGCTCTTGTTCCTTGTGCGCTTAGCGCTAGAAAGTGTGGAGAAGTGTGGCGAAGAGTGTTCAGGGAACCCTTTGGTTTGAGGTTGCCCCGTGACCCTAAAACCCATAAACCCTATAAACCCTATAAAACCCCATAAGCCCTATTAAAAAAAACCCCATAAACCCTATAAAAACCCTAAAAACACGCCCTTAAAAAAACCCACAAACCCTAGAAGCCCTAAACCGACGAAGCCCACGGGAAGGAAAGCTGAGCGCCTCGGGAGCCGCATCCTGGCGCCTTTGCAAAGAGGTTGAGAAACGACAGGGGGGAAGCTCATAGTCTTCATACAAGGAGCGTGGTAGGTTTAGGGTTTAGGGTTTAGGGGTTTAGGGTTTTAGGGTTTGGGGTTTGGGGTTTTGGGTTTAGGGTTTAGGGTTTAGGGTTTAGGGAGTTGCAGAATGCGTGCTTTTTGTTTTTGTTAAAGCTGCTCTGGCAGCGCTCGTGAGTTGATGATGGCAGCCTGCAAGGATGCGTGGTTGCACCTTATCTTCCCAGCGCCTACGCAGGCGGCTCCTCCAATCAACATGTCGGCACAAGACTGGGGTAGGCCTGTGTAGGAAGAGTGGGTCGATACAGTAGGATGGAACAGTGATGCTTAAGAGTTCTGGGTCCAGCTGTTTTCACATCAGTGCCCGGCCCACGTTGTTGCAGCTCGGTGCGCGCACGCACATGCACACATGCGCGCACACGCTCACGCACACCCGCGCGCACCCGCACATGCGCGCACACGCACACACGCACGCGCACCGAACCCACACACGCACACACGCACATACGCACACATGCACACACGCACACGCACACACGCCACATGCACGCGCACACGCGCACACACCCCCACACACGCCTACAGGCGCACACATGCACACTGCACACACACACACACATGCACACACATGCACACACATGGACACACACATGCACACACATGCACACACATGCACACACATGCACACACATGCACACACACATGCACACACATGTGCACACACATGCACACACATGCGCACACTCATCATGTTTCACCCACGCACCCAGGCGCGCGCGCAGAAATTGACTTGAGTGAGAGAGTGGTTCAAGCGCATTTGTTTCCCGGAGCGAAGTTGGTTTCAATCTACCAGGCCGCTGCTCCTTGCCCTCGCGGCTGTAGGGGTCGCTGGGGCTGCAGCGCCGGAAGGCATTCGAGCGGCTTCGATTGGACGTTTTGTGCATGAAGCCTATTTTTCAGTGACCACTACTGCCTCGAAGCTGTAAGACTCTGAGCTGAGTCTTGCGAAAGATTGACCTGTAAGTATAAGCATAAGTATAAACATAAATATATACACGTATAAAAATCTAAATATCTATATAAGTATGAATATAAATATAGATACAAATAGAATATCAATATCAATATCAATATCAATATAAATATAAATATAAACATAAATAAATAAATAAATATATATATATATACAAAAATAAATATACATATAAATATAAATGTCAATGTAAATGTCAATGTAAATGTCAATGTAAATGTAAATGTACATATAAATATAAAGAAAAGTATCAATGTACATATAAATAAACACAAATATAAATATAAATACACATATACATATAAATATAAATATAAATAAAAATATAAATACAAATACACATACAAATACAAATATACAAATATACAAATATACAAATATACAAATATACAAATACAAATACAAATGCAAATGCAACAAATAAATAGATAAATAGATATATATATATATATATACATACATACATACATACATATCATATATCTGCCAAAGCTGGATGCCCGAACTTTGGACCCTTTTTTGTTCAGAGAGAAACCTTGGTTCGACGAGAGAGCTCTTGCTTGTGGGAATGTTGTCCCACCGATTGGACCGCATGAGGAAGGGACCGCAACTAGAGCCGCGACGCAGAGATCAGATCCCAGTTGAGTCACTGTTCGAGTCCACCCGGAGTCCACGGAAATGAGAAACGACTGTCGGGCACACGGAGCATACGTATGTTTTGGGGTTTAAGGTTTAAGGGGATTTTAGATGGACCCTCTCGGTTCCTGTTTTCTTCTTGCTTTTTCTGACTAGTGACTAGTGCTGCCTTGTTTTCTGACTCGTGCTTATTTCTTATCTGGCTCGTTGTTGTTTCCGGACTCGATCCACCTACTCGACGGTGACCCCTGCAAGGCGTTTCAACACCCATACCGTCTTGCACGAATCCTAGCTGCCAGCAGCAGAACTCTGCAGAGCAGAATGACTTAGCGCACATCAGTGAGCTCGGTTCCAGTGCCATCATGGATGAAAATTCAGTGGCCAGCTTGAACATCTTAGGCCCTGCCAATGTCGAGCAGGGCATGGTTGCAGGCGGGCGGGGGAAAGTATATGAGTATGTGATAGCTTGCAGTGCCTTTGTCAGTTTGCGGGATCTTGCATCAGTCAGCAGCTTCATGCGATCGCGCCCCGGCTGGCCGGAAGCTAGCATCAGCTCAGCAGGCGCCTACCGCGCTACGACTCGCGAAAGAATGCTTTTCTCTCCTCCATGTTCTCCCATCCCCTCTGCTCTTCCCTGGCTCCATGCCTCGTTCGGGGGGGCCATGGTGTGTTCCTCTGCTTCTCTCGTCTTTGCCCTATCTACCCAGGAACAGGGTGACGCTTGTGGGAACGCCTCCCTCAGTGAGTGGAAGAAGAAAGGAACAGACTGAAGAGGAACAGCAAAAAACAGCAAGAAACAACACGAGAACGACGACGTAGGAGGAAGCTGCTTCCCCTCTGTGTGAAGAGAATTCCCCAGTTTACGAATGCGAATTGCGATGTTTTACGCTGGCCAGTAGGGGCCAGTCCACCTCACAGGATCCATGCCCTGCTTACATACATGTATGTTGAATTAGGGCCAGTCGCGAAGACGTGACACATTTCAGGCCTGAACTGAGTCACGAGGCTATCGAAACTGCTTGCCTTTCAGAAAATTGGTGCTGTCGAGCCGCCTGCTTTTTCGAACCAGGTCAGGAATGGGGCGGTTCAACAGCACCAATTGTCTGAAGACTTTCCCTTGAGAATAACTGGTGCTATCGAACTGCCTGTTTAGATTTAGATCAGGAAATGGGCGGCGGTTCAATGGCACCAAATTTTCTTGAGCGTCTGCCTTCAGCAGTCGTCGTCGTCGTCGTTGCCGCGATTGCTGCGGTTGCTGCTGTCGCTGCTGTTGCTGCTGTTACTTCTCTTACTGTGCTGCTGTTGCTGCTCTTGCTGCTCATGCTGCTCTTGCTGTTCTTGCTGCTCTTGCTGCTCTGGTTGCTCTCGTTGCTCTCGTTGCTCTTGTTGCTGTGGTTGTTGATAAGGCAATCCCTTGCCCAGCAAGGGACAAGTTGATTGAAAAGTGCAGCCTCTCATGGAAAGGGACCGGCCTCTGCATAGAAGAGGCAACCCCCCTTTCATCGGCTCGGAATTCTCTTGCGCAAAGGCGCAAACAGGAAGGCTGTTGCAGAAGAGCCGTATCTCCGTGTTGGTTCCCAATCTCTTCCTTTATGTTCCGATGTGGAAGGTGTAGGGGGGCTTCATTCTTTGCAAGGAAGGGAAGTTTCCCTTACCTTGGACACAGGGGGAGGGCCGCAGAAGCAAACCCTTTTCAGGTCGGGGGGGATCGTTTTGCTCCCTTTGACACGAGGAAGGAAGTTAAGGGGCTTCCGCCCCGATCTAGGGGCGATTCATTTCGCAATGTGGCAGGTCAGGGAGAGTTCTGCATTGGAGGGGTCAAAAGTAGGTTCCACGGGTCATGTCAAAAGACTATAAAGAGCAAAGGTATATGAATAACTGTTACAAGCAGCCAAACCGGTCACATTATACGGTAAAGGTTCCTGCCTCGTGCATATATACGGTCAGAGGGGTCACTGCAAAGAGGGGCTCGAATGAAGCCCCTAGCCCTAGCATCCCCCTAGCTTTCGGGTTTAGGTTTACTGTAGGGCTTCGGGTTTTGTGCTTCAAATCCACATTTTTGTGGTTCCTTTGTGCGCCGATGCTTTCGGACTAGGTGCCGGGAAACTTCATGCAAGGTGCTCATGTTTTGTGGGATTGCCTATTGCTTGCCAACTGCTTGGCAGGCGATGACTCTGGAAGTGCTGGCAAAAGGCTTGTCTTGAGTTCGTGATTGGCGGCACGTTAAGCACAAGCGACCGAGTGATCCTCCAAGCCGAATGCTCATCGTCTTCAGCAGTTAGCAGGCCAGCTATGCTGCTGCAGATGATGTCACCGCGGCACCAGTCTGCGCCAGTACATGAGGACCCCGAGGACTCTGAGGACCCTTGACATGCAGCAGTTAGCAAATGCTCCTTGCTGCCTTGTTGTCTTTGCTGTCTTGGGTTGATGCAGAGGACGATCAGAGTTCAGAGCAGAAAAAAAGGAGAGAAGTTCGAGAGGCGCGAGCTGGGCGTCGTAGGTCTAGAGCTGCAGGTGGTTGCAATGAGAATGTTTCAGTACCAGCCCC